TGCATTATTTCATCTGAATCAAGACACAATTTGTCTCTTATTTATTTTTCAATTTTTCAATATATATTATGTCTTAATGCGGGCAGGTAACTTTGAAGATGGGCAGGCAACGCTTATGAGTCACCTGCTCGACTGTCTTGTTGGGTTTTAAAATGATTTCAAACACTGGAGAGTACGCAGTAGTCTAATGTTCCTGTGTCCGCTCCTTGTTTCAGTGATGATGAACCCTCGTTAACCTTCGCTACACAGTTATGGCTACCTGCTCCCCTCCCTAGGTCAGACCAACAAGTGGATTACCTCGCCAAACAGTGCTTATAATCTTCAGAACTTGGATATTTGTGGCTGTGCAAGAATGGGCTGAACAAGCATCTAGCTATGTGTGTGGGATACCTTCTGTTTACCATGGATACCGTCTACAGCATTGTCCACATACCAGCTGGCTTAAGACCTTCAGCAACAAGGTAAAAACACTAATTAGACTAATTAGACTGTTGTATTGATGGATGTTTGGATTATTGTGTTGTGTACTGTGGTGACAGTGCTTGAATTGAAGGATGCAAGTCTGGGGTCATTGTCACAGTCATGATGTTAGGACCCATCAGAGGCCCACGGGTCGGTCCCCTTCACTGACTGAGACATAGACTATTGAGTTATATAGCTCTAGGACAGCTCAGGTCGTAAACCAGTTATGTCGATTAAATTATTAATGTCGTTAACAGTGTTTAGTAAAATGTTCAGCTTCACGCATGCAGCAAATTATGTTTTCGTCATAAGCCAAATCATTTTTGGGTGGGGATATTAGTGTTAATAACTCCTGTACAATCCCAACTGAAGTTAAACATTGAAGGTGAATATCACGGACATTGATGACAGCTTAAGGAAAATGAAATGGATGTACGTTTACAAACAACAGTGTTGTTCCTAGCCTCCATCAAGCAAGGGTCCTCAGGGCCCCTTGGTGTCAATTAAGGGGGCCTTCTACAATTTTGGAGGGCCTCATTCCTAATAAAGCAAAATTGATGACGATTTTGAAATGCCATGTTCTGTCTTTTAATTTTATGGTCTTAATTCAATAACGCTGATGTTTGACTGCAATGTTTACTTATAATGCACACCCTTTCGGATTAAAATGACATTGAGGTAAGTGAAGGTGAAAAGCTTAGTGCGCCAGCTGGACGTGTTGTATTTTAATTGCGTCATGCACAGAAATGTTGCGGGAATCCCGCAAGGCCACAGTCACCAAACAATGCTGAACAAGCAGGAACAGGAATGTTATAATTCAAACACATTCAACAAATCAACACAAGAATAATGAATCTGGATAATTAATGAGTTATTAACACCTGTCGGGCTCAGCTGTCAACCTGTCTGTCCGGTGGATAAAACCACACCTTACACACATCATGGCCGACAAATTGCCTCAGAGAAAGTTGGGACGCTTTAATGATGTTCTTATTTTTCAATAGGACAAAAAAAATCTATCCCTCACAAACTATTAGACTTGACAAGTATTTGTGTAACATTGACGATTGTTTGTGTCATGACTTCTACAGCAAGGCCAACTTGTGTTTTCTCTATAGCCTAGTGTGGTGTTGTCATTATTGTTTCATTGTTTGGTTGTAAACATGGACACAAACAGCTATCTAAAGTATCACCGTCTACTAGCCAGAGTCTAGCTTAGTGTGCCGACAACAAGTGAAAATCCAGTGATGGTAGTCCTCATTGACTAGAAGTATTTGGGGGCTATAATCTTGCTACAACTGGAACTGAATGAAACAGACAGAAAATGTAAACATAGTAACAAGTTGTCTCATTCAAACAGGACTAGCTGCAGATTTGGGGGACTACAAAAGAAAATAAGGTTTCCATTAGTCCACGGGACTAGTCTTCAAAGGAATGAATTTCTAAGTCAGTGCATCCCAGTCCTGTCTCAACAGTACTAGCTACAGACTCTGAGGACTAATTAGGTTTCCATTAGTCCACGGGACTAGTCTTAAACATGTTAAAGAAATGAGTTTCTAAGTCAGTGCATCCGAGTGCTACCCCTGTCCCTGGGTCACAGGAACACACAGTGTGAAGTGATGGGCCAGGGGAGGGCAATCTCCTGTTGGAGGAAACACATGGGCACACAGACAGGCTTCAGGCACACATTTACCCGTTATCATAGCGATGGGGTGAGAAGTGTTTGTTCTGAAGGTGTAATGACTGAGTACCACTTGATGGCCCCACTTGGAAATACAGTAGTATTTGTAGTGTTGGTATTATTTCAATATTAACATTGATCATTGGTCTAGTGAGTGATGGGGGCACGGGTGGCCCAGTCGTCTAAGGCACCACAATTTGCTGTGCAGAGTTGTGTCCCTTGAGCACGCCAGAAACCTACGATTGTGGGTTCGAATCCAGGTTCACCTTGATTATGTTTCTAGGTTTAACAGCACTGTACCCGTGCTCGTGGGTTTCACCGAACTGGTAAATGTCTGTGACCTGCATCACTTTGGGCTTTCCTCCCACATTTAGCTGACACACCGTGATATAACTGGAATACTGTTAAAAGCTCCATTAAACCCAACTCACTCACTTTAATGAGTGATTAATCCTGTTCATGACTGATCATGTATTTTAATGGAAACATACACTACTCTCAAAAGAAGCTATAGAGCATTATGGTTACTCTGTCATGACATGACAGATTAACTTTATTCATCGGAAAAAAATTCAAGTCTTCTTTGACTTTGAGTGCTATGTAGTAAGGGCATTCTTTCAAATATCGTTCCTGTAGATAATGAAATATCTTAAAGTAGACACAATTTATGGATAACAACTTCTTTAATACTGTAAAGGCGACATTTTGGTATGCATCCTTATACCATGTATACCATTGTCAAGCAAGACTGAACATGCTGAATGAGGAACAGATTATATATAGTAGATGGAGGATGACCAGTAGAGGATTAACAGTAACAACAATTGCATCCATGAGTGGGATAACATGAGTAAGTGTTGACAACAGAAAGATAATACTGTCATGACACGATGGACAGAGAACACATAGGTGGAAGTCTATGGGACATGAAGCCCATTATATAGGGTAACCTTGTATAGGTGTGGTGATTATTTCTTAATGAGTTCATAGTAGGCAGATGGGATGAAATGGCCTTGATCTCTGTTGATTGATGGCTTGTGGCGGCGAATGTGGACTGCTTCTGTTAGTTTTCTTTTAGTGAAATCATGGAGGTTGTTGGAGAGCATTTGGACGTTGTCCCAGTTGATGTTGTGATTAGGACAGTTGCTGATATGGTCCGAGATGGCTGATTTACTGTCTGATTTGCTGTCTGAGGTTTTGTGCTCTTTGATTCTGGTGTTGATGGGGCGGGATGTTTCACCTACATAAGATTGTCCACAGTTGCAGTCAATTTTATAAACTACACCTTGAGGCTCTTGGGGTTTCGTTGTGTTCCTGCTGTTGGCTCTTAGTGGGGTACTGAGGGAGGTGGAATTTCAAATCGTGTACTGGTAATACCATGCATATCTATTCATCAGTGTGCCCCATTCCGGTAATAATTATGCTAATAATTAACGTGGTGAACAATAATGAACCAGTTATGATACATTACTCATTATTGTAAGGAAATCAGGTATGACCATCAATTATCTATAGGCTTGCTGACACCGTAACTATTGTTACTGACATGGCAATTAGCATGCATATTGATTACTTATGTCAAGGGACTGGTTAGCCAAGTCTATTGGATCAGTTGTACCTAATCGTCATGGCTGTATGCCAGGTGGACTGGATGTGTATATGGTGTACAACAGCCGACAGCTATGGTGATGGAGAAGACGGACTGAGGACTGCATGGGGCCGGTGGGGGAAGGGGGCTGGTACAGTGTCTGAAATAGCTGCTTGCCCCCCTTCCCGTGACAGGCAACATTTCTCTCCTGCATGTCCAGAAGGCAGCGATTGTGACACAAAAAGCTGTATATAGGTCAATGACTTGGACCCAAGAAATGTAATAAATCAATGGCAAAAGGCAATAAGTCAAATTAATAAAAATGGTGGATGAACCAAAACAACAGATCAATGCAATACTGCTCGTGGTCGGATGAATATGTGCAATCTGGCCAATGAATGTCGCAGTAAGAAAAGCGTGTCAGTAAAGCTCCTGACAGTGTTTCCCTATGATACAGAAAGTATGATGTACGCTGCTCAGTATTTCAATTATGAATTTTGATGGTGTGCTCTGTTGTATTAAATCAATACTGTAAGTAGGAATAATCCTAACTATTTAATGAAGCCCAAGTCACTCACTCACTCACTCACTCACTCACTCACTCACTCACTCACTCACTCACTCACTCACTCACTCGATCACTCACCCACCGACTCACTCACTCACTCACTCACTCACTCACTCACCCACCCACCGACTCACCCACTCACTCACTCACCCACTCACTCGTTACATTAATATGAGTCTCCTGCCCGTCAGGCTTGCTGAGCTTGTTTCAGACACTGGGTAGCTAACAGGACACCCACCATGACCCATTGTACTTTTTATTGAAGAGATAGACCCATCAGGGCTGACTCTTGTCTGGTTGACACAGGTGAAATAGTAGATCATCCCATGGAGACAGTGTGGAAGTGGGAGGTGCACCCTGGGAGCTGGATCAAGGGCACCTGTGAAACATGTCACTAACAGTACGCTGGGTATTTATTGAGTGAGTTAGAGGGTGAGAATGGTCTTTATGCCAGGTTTTGTGCCATCGCCACTCTCAGATTCATCACATATTTTTTACCTTTTCACATCCTTTTCACATCCTTTTCAAAGAAAGCACATTCTTTCAAATCGTGACCCAGTCAGGTGATGTAATCATGTTCCGATGATACTAGGCCAGTGTTATACCGATATATAACATCTGTTAAACTACCCCTTTGAAAGTCACCAATCACAATACATAGTATGCATGTTATTTTTAGAACATCAATCCTCAATGGACTATTCTTGGCACATCCATTTTTATTTTTTTCGTTTCCATTTACGACAATACAGCTAACTGACAGAGTATATATTGTAGGTGTCCAAGAATGGTTGAGGCTACACGACAATAAAACACTGCTTCTTCCGGGCATAGAGACAGACAGCCCCTGCAATTACCGACCCAAGCCATAGTCTATCTGGCAATATCAGGCATATACAGGAGAATGGAAATGCTGATGGTCACTTGTTTTATATCATAACCTGTGTTTTCAACAGTACTGGAAGAGAATTTATGGATGTCAACTTCTTTATAATGAGGAGCAACGTTTCGGAGTATGTATTTACTCCTTCACAGTGATAGTAACTGACAGTTTTAGTCCACTAGTCCTTATATTGATAACATAGTAAAACTCTTAAAAAGGGCAAATTTCTAATAGTCCTCATGATACCTAACTATTGTGCATTTTATCAAGGACTACAGGACTAGTGACAATTTCTAACACTGCTTCATCTGATGAAGGAGTAAGCACTCCAAAACGTGTTCCTCATAATAAAGAAGTTGACATCCATATATTCTCTTCCTTAAGTGTATCACTTCTAAATGTCATTCAAAGATTTAGAACTTAAGTTGGTTGTACCTTTGACAAACTGTTAGTAAGAATACTGTACTGCCCATAACTCAAAATGTAAACATTAACAATGTTTCTGCTTCTGTTCAGTGTTTGACAAGACAGCATGGTGAAGGGATCCAGCCACCTAGGCCTGTGTTTAAATGTATCATTCAGAGGATCCTCTAATAGTCTGTGCCAAGACCTTTTAAGGCTAGTAGCTTGGACTCGAATCTAAGTAGAATTTTCAGTCCATCTTAGTGCTATTATGTGTACTGAGCTTTTGCTAGACCGAACAGAATTTTACAAGACAAGGGCTTCGGACCAGTGGTTAAAGTCTCAGACTGCTCAAGGAAAATATAGTGCAGATAATCCTAGGTCCTAGATTGTAGTCCGTGACGGCATCAGGCCTCTTTAGAGAGATTCCATTGTCATGGTGTCATCAGAGGCTGCTGCAAACACTGGGCGGATGTTTTCTACAAACTGAGTTTTTGTAAAGACAACTGGCTCCAGCGCTGTGGCTGAAATGAAGTAAAAGATATGGTTGAGCTATTGATCTCGAGATGATGTGGTATGAGTGTTGGTCTACCATGAGTGGAAGCCTTCAATCAATCTTATATCGCATGAGGTACGGCCTTACCGAGGCAGCACAATGTTTTAGTGGTGGTCCACACTCCAGCTGTCCCATAATTCCTTGTATGGACACACTCGCCAAGCGCACAGCTGATCTGACTGCCCGCCAGTGTTTACCTGATTACAACAGGAGCTATTTATAGCCTGTCAGCAGGTCACATGACTAGCTACCTGTGGGATTGTGTCTCTGTGCACGTATCTGGAACAGAGGCTTCAGTGTTGGGAAAAGGGTATCAGTCGTAGAACAGAAATCCACCTCTTTCACATCACTTTTTCGCATGGGGTATTTAGAGGATATGAATAAGTGAGTAGATTAACAGTGATGAGCAGTGATGAGTTGATTAACAATGATATGTAGATTAGCACTGTTGAGTAGATTAGCACTGTTGAGTAGATTAGCAATAATGAGTAGATTAGCAATGGTGAGTAGATTAACAATGATGAGTAGATTAGCGGTGATGAGTAGATTAGCAATGATGAGTAGATAAACAATGATGAGTAGATTAGCACTGTTGAGTAGATTAGCAATGGTGAGTAGATTAGAACTGTTGAGTAGATAAACAATGATGAGTAGATTAGCAATGGTGAGTAGATTAGAACTGTTGAGTAGATAAACAATGAGTAGATTAGCAATGATGAGTAGATTAGCAATGGTGAGTAGATTTGTGCTGATGAGTAGATAAACAATGATGAGTAGATTAGCAGTGATGAGTAGATTAGCACTGTTGAGTAGATTAGCAGTGATGAGTAGATTAGCAATGGTGAGTAGATAAACAATGATGAGTAGATAAACAATGATGAGTAGATAATGTTAATGTTGACTGTTAGTCTCGACTGCTACATCTGTAAGACATTTAGCCTCACTCCCATGATCACCATTATATGTGACTGTGCACTACTAGACTTGCACAAGTCTCTAAGGCAATAATTGTTCGTTTCAATCATAATTTCTAGATTTTTTAAATAATAAGAACAAGTTGTCCCAGTAAGAGACTGGAGTCTGACTGTCCACATATCTAGACTTGCCTATTAGGAGGCTAGAATTACTACACATCCATGGACTTATCTTTCTGTACAGCCTTGGAGCAAGGCTAGCACACTACTATCACAGCATCTCCTGTGGCAGTGATCACATTAGACTAACATTTAGTCTCTGAAATCTTATATTACACAATATCCTTCTTGACTCTAAAAATAAAAACAATTCTCTATGCTTGAGATGGCTAGACTTGCTTTTGTATGCATTTCTAGATTATTATTTTTTCATAAAATAAATATATTCCACGGTCATGGTGCAGGACTATGATCACATCAACATGCAGTATTATGAATGAGTAGGCAGGTGACTTGGCAGGCAGTGAATGTTAGCATCTGTCATAGTAATACCAACATCATCTGTTGGACACACTGTGGGTATTCAAGGTCGAGGTGACTTGGTTGATTACGTGTCATCGACGTTGCGGATCATTGTTCATGATATGAATCACTGGTTTGTCTGGTCTGGACTGGATTATTTCCCGGTCACCATGGTAATATTGCTGGAATGTTGCCAAGTAGTGTTAGTGTTAGAATCTGGCTGTCAACCTGTCTTCTCGTCTCTGAAATGTTAGTATTTTATTGGAAAGACTTGCTTGGGCTGTTTGGATGTATTTTATTTCAGGGTCTGTGTGACACTGACAGACTTATCCCCTATCTCATGTATCTCAGATCCTTGGCGTAACATCCAACCAAAATGATATTTCTCATGCTTATAATATCTGGGTTCTCTGTCCGAGACTGAATTATTTATAATCTATATGGCCACATGAGATGTGTGTCATTTTGCCAGCCCCGTCATGACCCTGGGACCACAGATATTACCCACACTGTCCAGCTTTATGCAGTACCATAATGACGTTGGACCTTGATCATGCTATCAGCCACTGGTTTGTGTTATTACTTTCAGTCCACCGGCCGGCGCCAGGACATGGCTCTAGTCACTAAGTCCCCCAGGGCCCATCATGCCCTGAGTTCTAGCAGATGTTACCACAGTTTTTAGTGTGGTAAATTACAATACAGTATCATGAGAACCAGTAGCGGCAATAGAAACTCACATGTTTAGTCCACTAGTCCTTATAATGAGAACATATAGCAAAACCATAAAAATGGCAAATTTCTAAGGTATCATAATATTCATAAGGACTAAACCTTAACTATTGGGCAGTTTGGCAAGGACTACAGGACTAGTGCCAATTTCTAACGCTGTAGTAGTTGAGTGAATTAGCATCTACTAATAGTACTAGTGTTTCTGCTATTGCATATTAATCAAATTTTAAAATATTTTGAACTTTTTACACATTTGTATATATTATGTCAGGATTAATATCTAAAACATATACTACTCCCAAGAAAGTCTTTGAAAGGCATTTTGACGTGATACACATAAACATGATAAGGAAGAGAATTTATGGATGTCAACTTCTTTATTATAAGGAACACAAGGTTTCGGAGTATGTACTTCCTCCTTTATCATTCACTTGACGAAGGAGTAAGTACATACTCCGAAATGTTGAGTTCTGCATAGTGAAGAAGCTGACATCAATAAATTCTCTCCCTTACTCAAAAGAAGTCAAATAACATCCATTTCTTACATATGGCTGTAGTTTATCAAATTACAAGTAAAGCAAATGTCTAAACTTGGCTTGTAACATGGTTGAGTTGTCTGGCCGACACTCACCTATATGTGTCATCATAAGCACCTGTGAATATAGTATCACTCACTGACCTACTTATTCCCTATATGTCCACATGCACCCGTGTGTAAGGGACATTGTCTATAAAAGGCAGCCAGGCTTGTTATTGAACAGACTGCTGATTGGTTGTTGAACTGGGGTATATTATCTGCCGTGTCAAGTCTAATCAATGAAGTCTCAATAAGTGTTCCTTATATGGCATTCCATATTCAGTTATCACACGTGGGGGTATATATGATGTGTTGACGGCCGGCAGAGGCAGCAGTTGTAGCTTCTGTAGAATACCCAGCACTTTCTAGCCTTAGTGATGTTTTACTTGGAAGAATTATTTATTGGTGAGTATGACAGACTTTTCAGTGTTTCTGATCAATTCATTTTCTTTGTCATCATGGTCATTGACTGATTGTCATCAAAACTAGGTTTGTTTGTTTGTGGTTTAACACCACACCCAGCAGTATTTCAGCTATATGACGGTGATCTGTAAATAACTGAGTCTGGATCACACAATCCAGTGATTGATATCACGAGCATCGATCCATGCAATTGGGATACGATGACATGCATCAACCAAGTCAGTGAGCCTGATCACCCAATCCTGTCCTGTTTCCTCTTAAGACAAGCATAGCCACCTTTTACGACAAGCATGGATTGCTGAAGACCTATTCTAACCCGGATCAAAACTTAGGGTGAAATGATCAGTGCAATGAGTTTACATGTGACAATATGATTCACAATACTGTTGTTTATCTGTATCAATATAAGACGATACCTTTGCTACAATACATTACTACTTGTTTAATGACTCCCCAGCGTTTGTGTCAGTCAAATATTGCAAAATGTGTTTTATTTAGCGTTTTAAGTTCACTATTAAAACAAGCCAGTACGAACATGTATCTACAGCTAGCTTTTCCTTTTGAACTTGCTCTGAAATATTAATATTCAAGAAGCTTCCATGCGATTTGACTTAAATATGTGTATTGCGACCTATGTCTGGTGATACGTATGGTATCATGACCTTGTTGTACCTTTTCACCCCTAATCAAAATAGCCCTGAGATTTTTATTGATTTTAGTCATTATAAACTAGAATGCCATTTGCCTTCACTGCTATAAATAGATTGTCATTGTTATTTTCCAGATTAACAGATAATAAGTAGAGGGTAACATCCCTTTGTTTAATACTGTCCAACTCCTCACAGCAATAATCTGTTGACACGCCGTGATATAACTAGAATACTCGCTCACTCTATACAAGCTATACTATTGCTGCCACCAGTCACAGCTCCCCACAGTGCTAGGCAGCCTACAGCCATGCCTGGAGTGGAACTCACAACGGACTGACCGTTATGTTTACAAAACATTGATGACTCTTGTGATGCCGAATACTCTAGCTTCCCCCAGCTAAATTGTTTTTTTCAACATGAACATGTGTTGATGAGGGATATTTTAAATTCAGTTTTGCCGACATTTGCTACAGACTTGGGGTCGATTATCGGCCTCAGATGGAGATAAGTCCCCTTGTAGTGTATTCTCTATAATAACACAGGAGGTAGTATTTGTCATGCAGGTGGAGATTGTCGTTTACTTGCCATGTCTTTGACACACCTACAGCAGACGTCAATTGATTCACCTAATATTGATACAGTCCAAGGCTTTAGCCACTAGTCGAAACTCAAGTAAAGTTCTGTTCTGTCTAGTGAGCTCAGCTATAATAGTCCATATGAAAAAACTGAAATCAAACAAAAGTTATGTTATGAGCCGTTTCGGCTAGTATACATAAAATTGTTTTTGCACAAACTATAATAAATATTATCAAAACTGCGATAGGTTGGTTGTTGAGGATATAAGGAAATAGATGATATCATGTTGGAACATTTACTGCTGTATTGTGCAGATGTCTGCTTCTGATATTGAGATTTTCCTGACTTTATCAAGTTGATTGTTGTGTGGTCATAGTTTCAGCACTCCGTCAGTCCTGAGTCCTTGTCTAACTGCCCATTTGTAAAGGTATAAGGACCAGTAGACATTTGCCAACAATTTAGAGTTTTGCTATATGTTATCATTATCAGGACTAGTGGACCAAAAATGTGAGTTTCTACCTTGAGTTTCTACCTTGTCAGTCAGTGTCTGGGGTGATGTATGGGACAAGAGTGACTGGAGTCGGGGATGGTCAGGCTCCAGGCTACCAAGGTCATCGCTTCAGGACTGGATGTGTTTTTAAAAAACACCTGGCCAAATTCCCCGAACACTCCTCTAGAGATGTCCAGACTGCATCTCCCAATATAGTGGGCTGACTATGTGGGTATGATCCATGTAACCTCCATTCTACCCATGCACCCATGAAGATGTCAACAAGAGTGTTCCCATGAATCCACTTGTCAGTGGAAAGACTTGGGACCTATTTAGTTGTCAGTTATGATTTTACTTACTTAGGAAAACTGACATGATTGGGTTTTGTAATTTTATTTTGTCAGTAATGTTTGAACACAGCAGTTTTATTCATATTTTCTTTCATGGAATTCTTATTTTCCCAGTTTTGTTTTGGAATTAGTAATAATAATAGGCCATCTACTTTGAGTAAATTGACATACCACACAGGGGCTGCATGATGCTCAAAGCGCTATTATTACCCCGGTCACTGGATCTGTGTGAACTCAACAATCATTCTCATCTCCTTGTGGAGTATACAACCCAAGCTGCCTGTTGGGCGCGAAGAGGTTTAAAACCACATTGCCATCACAATGCTGGGAGAACAGAAGCACATTTCGAACAAAGTTCCTTGCCCAAGGAGGCACCACAGCTTCAGTGTCTCGGCATCACCAGGATGAGGAGAAAGATCAGGAGCAACATGTGTAAGTCAATTACATATTAAACACACAACAACACAAGCCTCACTGACTGTTGAACTTGTCCCGCCTGCCAGGCACCCTCTCAGCCATACCGATAGAATCAATACACCAGCACTGAACAATGTGACGCGGGACACAGGTATGATGTCAGTCATGCAGGGTGCTTGTTGCGGCACCAGGCACCCCCTCAGCCATACCGATAGAATCAATACACCAGCACTGAACAATGTGACGCAGGACACAGGCATGATGTCAGTCATGCAGGGTGCTTGTTGCGGCGTCAGGCACCCTCTCAGCCATACTGATAGAATCAATACACCAGCACTGAACAATGTGACGCGGGACACATGTATGATGTCAGTCATGCAGGGTGCTTGTTGCGGCGTCAGGCACCCTCTCAGCCATACCGATAGAATCAATACACCAGCACTGAACAATGTGACGCGGGACACATGTATGATGTCAGTCATGCAGGGTGCTTGTTGCGGCGTCAGGCACAGCTGACAAGTTGGCGGGATGACGGTTTCTCTATTTGATCTTTGGCGTATCCCTGATGTCAACTGATCAATTATATTATTCGATCCGATAGCTTTTTATCATTGTTGTTATTCAATCACTGCTAACATTTTATGAGAAATTAAAAGTGTGCAGAGGTCCTCTGAATCGGGGGACCATCCGTATCTGAAACTTTGAACAGGAGACACTTTTATATGGATAGCAACTGCTTTTATTCTTTGTATGACATTTCATAGCAACTATAATCACCTGATGAAGGAGCGAGAAGTAGCTCTGAAATGTCGTACAAAGAATAAAGGAGTTGCTATCCATAAAAGTGTTGTGTATTCACGTTCTTCCAACTTCTAAATGCCTATCAGTGGGGGCGGTCGGGTAGCCTAGTGGTTAAAGCGTTCGCTCGTCACGCCGAAGACCCGGGTTCGATTCCCGACATGGGTACAATGTGTGAAGCCCATTTCTGGTGTCCCCCGCCGTGATTTTGCTGGAATATTGCTAAAAGCGGCGTAAAACCATACTCACTCACTCACTCACCCTATCAGTGACTTCAGAGTTATGACCCTTAAGATTAATAAACTTTACTCCCTGTATAAACAGTTTATACTTTCATCATCATAATCAGCAGGTTTAGAAATTCATTATTATTTTTACTAGGTCACAAAAATGATCTGCTACAAAGATGCTATCTATCTCTAAACGTAGATGCGATAGTCCACAAGGAAATGCCAGGAGTTCTTTCAGAAGTTTACTCATGTTATTTAAGTCTAAGGATTTATGCTAATTTGAACCTTGTGATGTTTTATAATGAATAATATCATTTGCCTCTTTTATCAGTGATGTATTACGACCACTGATATCATTTGTTGTTTTAATCAGTGATATGTGACGACCACTGATATCATTTGTTGTTTTGATCAGTGATATGTGATGACCAATATCATTTGTCTTTTTGATCAGTGATATGTGATGACCAATGTTATCATTTGTCTTTTTGATCAGTGATATGTGCAACCAATGATATCAATTGTCTTTTTGATCAGTGATATGTGCAACCAATGATATCATTTGTCTTTTTGATCAGTGATATGTGCAACCAATGATATCAATTGTCTTTTTGATCAGTGATATGTGCAACCAATGATATCAATTGTCTTTTTGATCAGTGATATGTGATGACCAATGATATCATTTGTCTTTTTGATCAGTGATATGTGATGACCAATGATATCATTTGTCTTTTTGATCAGTGATATATAACGACCAATGATATCATTTGTCTTTTTGATCAGTGATATATAACGACAAATGATATCATTTGACCTCAGTCATCATATCCAGTCCACCAAAACTAATGTCACTTCGTTCGCACAACTCCTTAAATTAGGCCAGTTTGTCCCTAGTGAACATTGACAACATTTTCGAGCCCTACATGTTGTGGAGCTCTGGTCAACAAGGAAACAGACTGGCTCTCCTAACACGGTCACATGGTCATGATGGTGAAGTGTTCACAATAATTATGAAGATGTTAACGAGTAGCCTTGTCATGATAGGTATCTAAAAATTTAAAAGAAAGTATCAGTTTTCTAGTGACCAGGTTCACACACTTTGTAAATTTGAATTCTTTTGCATACTCAGTGTTTTTTATATCATGGAATTTGAAAACTGTAGAATTAATCATAGATGTTAGTAATTATTAAAACTTAATTAGGGAGTATCTATCTGTGGAAGGGGAAAATCCCTCAATAATCATGATAATAGCTTCAATTCATCATCGGATCTGGTAAAAACGGAATGTTTTTCTTGTCAAGACGAGATCACAGAAACTGTTTGCTGAACATGACAAATAGCCTGGAGGATTATTCTCGGTGTCGGCATGAATGTTGGGCCAAGCTTGGCTTTGCTGTGGAGCAGCGTTAACGTGGAAAATACCTCCCGGCCGGCCGGACGCTGGCCCCTCCTCCATCACCACTGGTCAGACCTGGGACCAGTGCGGCTTGACCGATATAGCAGCTCAATTCAGCAACAATGGATGAGAGGGGATTGATGGAGTGAGTCACCCTACTGGAGCATCTCATGCCACTTTATTACAAGAAGATTGACTTATTGATTATTGTTTCCATATTTATTGGATTAAGTGCTAAAGCATATGTGAAAAAAAAATGATGCTAACATATTTATAAAGTTGCAAATGTGAAAGAAATGCTGTGTGTATTGTGTATTGGTAGTGTGCAGTGCTTCCATTGAAGATGTGTAGGCACCGGTGGAGCACATGTAGGCACCCTGGAGCATGGGTAGGCACCCTGGAGCATGTGTAGGCACCGGTGGAGCACATGTAGGCACCGGTGGAGCATGGGTAGGCACCCTGGAGCATGGGTAGGCACCCTGGAGCATGTGTAGGCACCGGTGGAGCACGTGTAGGCACCAGTGGAGTATGTGTAGGCACAGGTGGAGCATGGGTAGGCACAGGTGGAGCACATGTAGGCACCAGTGGAGCAGGGGTAGGCACCGGTGGAGTATGTGTAGGCACTGGTGGAGCACATGTAGGCACCAGTGGAGCATGTGTTGGCACCAGTGGAGCAGGGGTAGGCACCAGTGGAGCACATGTAGGCACCAGTGGAGCCGGGGTAGGCACCAGTGGAGCATGGGTAGGCACCAGTGGAGCACATGTAGGCACCAGTGGAGCCGGGGTAGGCACCAGTGGAGTATGTGTAGGCACCAGTGGAGCATGGGTAGGCACCAGTGGAGCATGTGTTGGCACCAGTGGAGCATGGGTAGGCACCAGTGGAGCAGGGGTAGGCACCAGTGGAGCACATGTAGGCACCATTGGAGCACATGTAGGCACCAGTGGAGCCGGGGTAGGCACCAGTGGAGTATGTGTAGGCACCGGTGGAGCACATGTAGGCACCAGTGGAGCACATGTAGGCACCAGTGGAGCACATGTAGGCACAGGTGGAGCATGTGTAGGCACCGGTGGAGCACATGTAGGCACCAGTGGAGCACATGTAGGCACCAGTGGAGCCGGGGTAGGCACCAGTGGAGTATGTGTAGGCACCGGTGGAGCACATGTAGGCACCAGTGGAGCACATGTAGGCACCGGTGGAGCATATGTAGGCACCAGTGGAGCACATGTAGGCACCGGTGGAGCACATGTAGTCACCAGTGGAGCACATGTAGGCACCAGTGGAGCACATGTAGGCACCGGTGGAGCATGTGTAGGCACCGGTGGAGCACATGTAGGCACCAGTGGAGCACATGTAGGCACCAGTGGAGCACATGTAGGCACCAGTGGAGCACATGTAGGCACAGGTGGAGCATGTGTAGGCACCAGTGGAGCACATGTAGGCACCAGTGGAGCACATGTAGGCACCAGTGGAGCACATGTAGGCACAGGTGGAGCATGTGTAGGCACCAGTGGAGCACATGTAGGCACCAGTGGAGCACATGTAGGCACCGGTGGAGTAGGCACCAGTGGAGCACATGTAGGCACCAGTGGAGCACATGTAGGCACCAGTGGAGCACATGTAGGCACCGGTGGAGCACATGTAGGCACCAGTGGAGCACATGTAGGCACCGGTGGAGCATGTGTAGGCACCGGTGGAGCACATGTAGGCACCAGTGGAGCACATGTAGGCACCAGTGGAGCACATGTAGGCACCAGTGGAGCACATGTAGGCACCAGTGGAGCAGGGGTAGGCACCGGTGGAGCATGTGTTGGCACCAGTGGAGCACATGTAGGCACCAGTGGAGCAGGGGTAGGCACCAGTGGAGTATGTGTAGGCACCGGTGGAGCATGGGTAGGCACCAGTGGAGCATGTGTTGGCACCAGTGGAGCACATGCAGGCACCAGTGGAGCAGGGGTAGGCACCAGTGGAACATGTGTAGGCACCGGTGGAGCACGTCTAGGCACCGGTGGAGCATGTGTTGACACCTGTGGAGCATGGGTAGGTTGGTTGGTTGGTTTGTTGTTTAACACCGCACTCAGCAATATTCCAGCTATATGACGACGGTCTGTAAATAATCGAGTCAGGACCAGACAATCCAGTGATGGATATCATGAGCATCGATCCATGCAATTGGGATCGATGACATGCATCAACCTAGTCAGCGAGCCTGACCACCCAATCCCGTTAGTCGCCTCTTACGACAAGCATAGTCACCTGTTACGGCAAGCATGGGTTGCTGAAGACCTATTCTACCCCGGCAGTGGGGCAGGTGTAGGCACCGGTGGAGCACTTGTAGGCAACTGTGGGGAATGTGTAGGCACCAGTGGAGCACATGTAGGCACCAATGGAGCACGTGTAGGCAACGGTTGAGTGTGTCTGGGTCATGCCACAAGTTTGAGGCTCATTTCTGAAGATTCATTGACCTAATCAATGTTTTCCATGACTAATTCAGTGTCAGTGTGACATTGCTGGCCGTATTACAATGTTTTACCACATTATTTTAATGACATTACCCAGCAGCCCTTGCCATGCTTCCAGTACAGTCAAGTAATGACGATATCAGTCATGTCTGCACATTGCATCATTCAAACTGCTTTTCTATTTTTGGAAGATGAGAAATGACAGAACCAGGAAAATTGGTGAATTCAACAACACATATTAAATTATTCTCAAATGTGGATAATTAAAACAGTTCCTGTCAGCTGAAGGGTTGAGATTCAATAAACTAAAGTCCCACGAATCATGACTAGTGACATTTTATTTTATAATACCATATTTTCCATTTGTGTGGACTAGTGAAAATAGTAAACCTATTCCATTTAGGTTGAGTAAACATGCATTCTGACAGTTGTATCATGTGGTGTACAGGGGTGTCTGTTGTGTAGGAATGTGTCATTGTGTCTCAGGTCTTACAGTTATACATCTTGTCAAATACACAGGTGACATCTCCGTGAATCACTAGGTCGGGTGTACTGGTGTATTTGTTGTGTATGAATCATGTGTCATTGTGTCGGAGACAGTACAGTTGGTTATACAGTCAAATACACAGGTGACACCTCCGTGACTCACTAGGTCTGGTGTACTGGTGTATTTGTTGTGTCTGAATCATGTGTCATTGTAGTTGGTTATACAGTCAAATACACAGGTGACACCTGCGTGAATCACTAGGTCTAGTGTACAGGTGTATTTGTTGTGTCTGAATCATGTGTCATTGTGTCGGAGACAGTACAGTTGCTTATACGGTCAAATACACAGGTGACACCTGCGTGAATCACTAGGTCTGGTGTACTGGTGTATTTGTGTCTGAATCATGTGTCATTGTGTCAGAGACAGTACAGTTAGTTATACAGTCAAATACACAGGTGACACCTGCGTGAATCACTAGGTCTGGTGTACTGGTGTACTTGTTGTGTCTGAATCATGTGTCATTGTGTCGGAGACAGTACAGTTAGTTATACAGTCAAATACACAGGTGACACCTGCGTGAATCACTAGGTCTGGTGTACTGGTGTACTTGTTGTGACTGAATCATGTGTCATTGTGTCGGAGACAGTACAGTTAGTTATACAGTCAAATACACAGGTGACACCTCCGTGAATCACTAGGTCTGGTGTACTGGTGTATTTGTTGTGTCTGAATCATGTGTCATTGTGTCGGAGACAGTACAGTTAGTTATACAGTCAAATACACAGGTGACACCTCCGTGACTCACTAGGTCTGGTGTACTGGTGTACTTGTTGTGTCTGAATCATGTGTCATTGTGTCGGAGACAGTACAGTTAGTTATACAGTCAAATACACAGGTGACACCTCCGTGACTCACTAGGTCTGGTGTACTGGTGTATTTGTTGTGTCTGAATCATGTGTCATTGTGTCGGAGACAGTACAGTTAGTTATTCAGTCAAATACACAGGTGACACCTCCGTGACTCACTAGGTCTGGTGTACTGGTGTACTTGTTGTGTCTGAATCATGTGTCATTGTAGTTGGTTATACAGTCAAATACACAGGTGACACCTGCGTGACTCACTAGGTCTGGTGTACTGGTGTATTTGTTGTGTAGGAATGTGTGTCTTAGACAGTACAGCTTTGCAGTTAAATACACAAGTCACCCCTCCATGAATCTTTGGGCCTGGTCAAGATGAATGAAGCTATGGCTGCCATCAACACTCACTTGATCCTAGAGACAAGTTCCTACAATTTATGTCGTGGTGGTGTGAACTTGGCACATAGAAGGTCGAAGTATTCATGGGTTTTATGTCAGAGCCAACATTTGCAAAAATGATTTATGATGTTGATACTATCACGTTTGAGTTATCAGAAATTTATTTTATTTGCTGGCTATATATTTGTTTCGGGCAGATCCCAGGTGTTGGACCAATAAGGAAAGTGGTCATTTAGATACATGACACACCCATTTCATAGATTTTATAGGTTTTTTTACATACATAGTATATGTAGTTAAAATTTAATTTTGCACATAGATTCTTTTTATAATAAAAAGGGGTTGTTCTCTAATTATCAATTAAGTCCATAATCTGATTGGTCAGGATGTATATTGTGGGTCTAGGAGGTGAAAACAGGGAACATTATGACCGAGCTGACACATTGTGTATTCCTGTATAGAAGGAAGAACAGTTTGTATACATCCTGCAGGCCTTTTTCGTGAGATCTCCGGTGATACCGTGTTCATGTACAATTTTATGTTCAGTATCATGGGGCATTGTAACATAATGGGTTAAATGTATCCACAGTGTATATTCAACATTGCTTATTACTAAGTTGGCAACTTTCACCAGCCTAGACCCCAACTGGTGAAAGCAGCAATCTGTTGGTGCTTCGCCTGCTCAGACACTTTGAGACCATCACGTAGCTGCCTGCATCTCCCTCAGCCTGTCTGGGGGGTGTTTGCTGACTGGAGCAATTATCAGTCAGCGCTGTGTGCTCGTCAAAGTCTGCTGGTCACCCAGGTGCAACTGCACTTATACTCTCAAACCACCAGAGGGAGCCACTCACACGATTCCTACGACAGGGTGAGTGACTGAGTGAACCAGGATTTGAACACACAATCATAGGTTTCTGGCATGCCCAAGGCCCGCAACTCTGCACAGCGAATTGCGATGCCTTAGACGACTGGGCCAACTGTGCCCATGCCACCACAGCCATACCATGATACCAAACTATTCTTGTCTAACAAGTGGACTTACACGTTTATATATATCATGTGGTATCTTGGCAAGTGTGACTTGTTTGACAATATTGCATAGAATGCACTGTCAGAATAACTTTAACAATAAAAGTACAGTTATTCACAAGTTTGGACTAGAACGTTGATACCCCTGGTCAAGGAGTGAGTGAGTGAGTTGGATTTAACGCCGCTTTTAACAGTATTCCAGTTATATCGCGGCGTGTCAGCTTAATGTGGGAGGAAAGCCCGAAGCGATGCAGGTCTCAGACGTTTACCACTTCGGTGAAACCCACGAGCACGGGTATGGTGCTGACAAACCTAGAAACATAATCGGGGCGAACCGGGATTCGAACCCACAATCATAGGTTTCTGGCGTGTCCAAGGGACGCAACTCTGCACAGCGAATCACGGCGCCTTAGACGACTGGGCCACCTGTGCCCCCCTGGTCAAGGAACTCCAGTGTCGTATGTAGGTCATGCACATAATTTGGGGAAGGCTTCCAGTATAGGGCCACCTGGTCAGTGTTGACTTCAGAGTGGATTCATAATCTTCAGTGTCGGCCCTCCAAAATAAAAAAAAAATGAACTGAATAGCTTTGAAACGGATGTTTGCCTTGTCAATTAATTGTTTTTTCACTCATATTGCACACAAAAATGAATCATTTAATTAATGATATCTCCTAAACGGTGATCAACCTTGTGGTCCTTTGCTGATAACCTTCCCCATTTGTCAACTGACCATGGTAGCAAAGAAAACCCACTCCTTGCACTATTCTCTCATGATTTGTTTCTTATGTTATTATATTATTAGGATTGTTCCATCCTAGAAAACACTAATGAAACTATCATTGATCAGTACTGTCCCAGACTGTGGGCGGTAGGTTGTTTAGCACCATGGAAACTCTTCAGCCGAAACTTGTGATTTCCTCTCTGTTGAATCACTTGTAAATATGTCCGTCATTAGTGGTAAACATTCCTGGAGTGCTGTATGGGCGGCAATGTTTTCTAGACTTCTCAAGTATGGGGGTCCAGATGTTGCCATGTGGCCAAGTAGACACGGTCCCCTTGTAGCAAGTGTCACGGTTGACAGTGTGACTGGCTGGCCCGGGGTAAACACTGGACAGTGCATGGGGGCCGTGTTGTTGCCAGTTACATACCTCAGCACTGGAAGTTAAGACTTAGCCTTCAGGGCCCCGTTCCTCAAAGCGATCTTAGCGCTACGATGATCGTAACCCTATGTTAAAGTATGGGACTTACGATCACCTTAGTGCTAAGATCGCTTTGAGGAATGGGGACCTGGATGTTGAGTTAATACCTGTCTGAGATTTTGTTCCCTTTTAGAAAAAACATAATTTCGTTACTTTTTATTTTTCACCATCATGCAGGAAGGGAAGCAATGACGTGATTAAGAGGCCGACCATAGTAGTATGTATTGGATGACTTTATTTTTGAGAGGTTAGTGTCTCGTGAGTTGTTCCCCATGGATGTAGCTTGGCAATGCAGATAAACACGATGGATGAACGATCGCATCCAAAAGTGGGAGAGATATGGTATTGGGAGAAAAGGTTCAGTAATCGACATGAAATACCCACCTGTGTATAAAATGGACTTCTCATTATTTAAATAAGGGTGAATATTATTAAGACTTGTACATTTTATCATCATCCTTATAGAGGCTGTCGCTAATGTTGATATCTCATATAAGAAAGAAACAACGAGTGGGAGTTGTTTATTGTACAATAAAACACTGCAGGGAGAATAAACCACTCTGGGATGCGCCCATCATTGTTTATTCTCCCTGCAGTGTTTTATTGTTTGATAAACAACTCCCACTTGTCGTTTATTCCTTATGTGGTATTGGGGAATTCTTTTGTAATTGAAAGGTCAAAGGTCAAGGTCATGAGAAAAATTTGTGGTTCCACTTTATGAAAACCTATTGATATATTTGTACCTTCTCTAAGATGAGGCCCTTTTATGAAAAGCTTTTGGTTAAGTTTAACCAAAGGTCAAGGTCTTCGTTACGTCAGTTTTGTTGTCAGCTTCAGAGGAATGTTTTTTAATCAACAAATCTCACCACATCACTGGTCAATTGCGTTTATGTCAAAGGTCAAGTTCAGCCCTGAGGTTATTGTGCGTTGTACATGATGCTGTTGATTCATACTACCATTTGAATATGGCACAAAGATTATTGACATTAAGGATATCCTACAATGGATTTATTTACCATGGACCAAGGGAATTATTTTGTCACTTTCTATTAGGTCAAAGGTCAAGGTAACGTCTAATAAATTGATGCATACACTTTCATAAAAAGTATCAATGCATTTATAATTAAACTTGGCATGTAGCTTCTTTAGGATGGGGCCCTGCTTTGGAAAGACTTTGGTCAAAGGACAATGTTAGTTAATTCGGGGGGCACAGGGGGCCCAGTCGTATAAAGTGCAGCGATTGGCTGTGCAGAGTTGCATCCCTTGGGTACGCCAGAAACCTATAATTGCGGGTTCGAATCCTAGTTCGCCCCGATTATGTTTCTAGGTTTGTCAGCACCATACCTGTGCTCTGCGACCTGCATCACTTCGGGCTTTCCTCCCACATTAAGCTGACACGCCACGATATAACTGCAATACTGTTAAAAGCAGCGTTAAACCCAACTCACTCACTCACTCACTCACTCACTCACTCTAGTTCATTCATTTGCAATGACTATTATCGTGCTCTGTTTGTAAGTAAACTGAAGGTTACAAATCACGGTTATAGGTAAAGATAATAAATAAGGTTTTCGTGTATTGATTTGAGATGAAGATAAGCATAAACATTTAAGAAATAGGACTCCACATACTGCATATGTTATACACATGATGTATGCTACACAATACTCATGGGATACTCAGGCCAGTCTTCTGGATGGTTTATATTCAAGCTAGAAAATGTATATCACTTGACGACATGGTTCTGCTGCCTCTGTCATGTTTATCAGTCTCACATGTAGTGGGGGTCAGAACATGCATTTTCCAGTGAATGAAGGAAATAATGTGATATGACAAACTAGCAGAGATTACAATGCCAGTGTTGCCACACAAGCTGGGAACTTGTGAAAGGTGAACCCACAGGGTGCAGGGGTTCCCTGTGCTAGATAAGGCTGGAGACAGGAATCTCTCTGGATGCTTGGAAGACATGGAGATAAGCCTGCTTGAGATTCAGAGATATGTGTAGATCATTGTGACATACATAGGGAGACTGCTGCAGGGGATAGGTACATCATCATCCGTGTCGTGATGACATCATGCAATGCATTGGTGGTATCAGGCAGAGAATGTCAACTTCTTTATTATGAGGAACACAACGTTTTGGAGTATATTCTTACTCCCATCAGGTGAATGAGTGCTTTGAGGCAGAGAGCATATGTGTACATGTGAGAAGTGATATGCCATGCCGTATAGGTTTACTATGGAATATGTTGTACAATCGATGAGTGGTAGGCCGTGCCGTTTAGGTTTACTATTAAGTATGTGGTACAATGTATGTATATATATGGTATGCCATGCCGTATAGGTTTACTATTGAGTATGTGGTACAATGTATATATGATATGCCATGCTGTTTAGGTCTAGTATGGAGTATGTTGTACAATCTATGAGTGGTAGGCCATGCCATTTAGGTTTACTATTGAGTGCGTGGTACAATGTATATATGATATGCCATGCCGTTTAGGTCTACTATGGTGTATGTTTTACAATCTATGAGTGGTAGGCCATGCCGTATAGGTTTACTATTGAGTATGTGGTACAATATATGATATGCCATGCCGTATAGGTTTACTATTGAGTATCTTGTACAATGTATATATATATATATATGGTATGCCATGCCATTTACATGGTTTAGGTTTAATATTGAGTATGTGGTACAATGTATATATATATATATGGTATGCCATGCCGTTTAGGTTAACTATTAAGTATGTGGTACAATGTATATATATATATATATATGGTATGCCATGCCGTTTAGGTTAACTATTAAGTATGTGGTACAATGTATATATATATATGGTATGCCATGCTGTTTAGGTTTACTATTAAGTATGTGGTACAATGTATATATATATATATATATATATATATATATATATATATATATATATATGGTATGCCATGCCGTTTAGGGTTACTATTAAGTATGTTGTACAATGTATATATATATATATATGGTATGCCATGCCGTTTAGGGTTACTATTAAGTATGTGGTACAATGTATATATATATATATATGGTATGCCATGCCGTTTAGGGTTACTATTTAGTATGTGGTACAATGTATATATATATATGGTATGCCATGCCGTTTAGGGTTACTATTTAGTATGTGGTACAATGTATATATATATATGGTATGCCATGCCGTTTAGGGTTACTATTTAGTATGTGGTACAATGTATATATATATATGGTATGCCATGCCGTTTAGGGTTACTATTTAGTATGTGGTACAATGTATATATATATATGGTATGCCATGCCGTTTAGGGTTACTATTTAGTATGTGGTACAATGTATATATATATATGGTATGCCATGCTGTTTAGGGTTACTATTTAGTATGTGGTACAATGTATATATATATATGGTATGCCATGCCGTTTAGGGTTACTATTTAGTATGTGGTACAATGTATATATATATATGGTATGCCATGCCGTTTAGGGTTACTATTTAGTATGTGGTACAATGTATATATATATATATGGTATGCCATGCTGTTTAGGGTTACTATTTAGTATGTGGTACAATGTATATATATATATGGTATGCCATGCTGTTTAGGGTTACTATTTAGTATGTGGTACAATGTATATATATATATGGTATGCCATGCTGTTTAGGGTTACTATTTAGTATGTGGTACAATGTATATATATATATGGTATGCCATGCTGTTTAGGGTTACTATTTAGTATGTGGTACAATGTATATATATATATGGTATGCCATGCTGTTTAGGTTTACTATTAAGTATGTGGTACAATGTATATATATATATGGTATGCCATGCTGTTTAGGGTTACTATTTAGTATGTGGTACAATGTATATATATATATGGTATGCCATGCTGTTTAGGGTTACTATTTAGTATGTGGTACAATGTATATATATATATGGTATGCCATGCTGTTTAGGGTTACTATTTAGTATGTGGTACAATGTATATATATATATGGTATGCCATGCTGTTTAGGGTTACTATTTAGTATGTGGTACAATGTATATATATATATGGTATGCCATGCTGTTTAGGGTTACTATTTAGTATGTGGTACAATGTATATATATATATGGTATGCCATGCTGTTTAGGTTTACTATTAAGTATGTGGTACAATGTATATATATATATGGTATGCCATGCTGTTTAGGGTTACTATTTAGTATGTGGTACAATGTATATATATATATGGTATGCCATGCTGTTTAGGGTTACTATTTAGTATGTGGTACAATGTATATATATATATGGTATGCCATGCTGTTTAGGGTTACTATTTAGTATGTGGTACAATGTATATATATATATGGTATGCCATGCTGTTTAGGGTTACTATTTAGTATGTGGTACAATGTATATATATATATGGTATGCCATGCTGTTTAGGGTTACTATTTAGTATGTGGTACAATGTATATATATATATGGTATGCCATGCTGTTTAGGTTTACTATTAAGTATGTGGTACAATGTATATATATATATGGTATGCCATGCTGTTTAGGGTTACTATTAAGTATGTGGTACAATGTATATATATATATGGTATGCCATGCTGTTTAGGGTTACTTAAAAGTTCCAAATTAGGGTCCTTATTGCCGTGCAGAAAATTTACATCTCGATTTTTGTCATGTAGTAAGCTGCACTTTCTTTCCTCAATGACGGCCGGTAGAGTTTAGGTAGAGTTTAGTCAGGGCCTGCAGCTTCTGAAGCGTGTGGTCCTCATGGCAGCTTGGCATTTTTTTCTATTTTGAACGCTGTATGGAGGTTGTACAAGTTCTGTCGGAGGTATATGTTTACCTGCTGTAAATGACACGAGTGTGTGCACCTGCCTGCCCAGTATACAGGCCTCCGTGGTGTCACCAGACAACTGACTGACAGACGGGTGGCCACATGACCTCAATACAGTGTGGATGGAAGTTAGGGCGTGTGGATATTGTATGTAGGTAGTAACACGAAGTCTGTTGCTCAGTTTGCAGTGTCCACGCACTGTGTATGATGAATGTTAGGATGTTTCATATATGAAGCATGATAATAAGGACGAGTCGTCTGAGTGTGTTCATTCCTTGGTGTATATCCTGGATATTGACCGGTAAGATGTGGAGCGGTAATTTCAAGGGCTTTCTGCACCGGTGTCTGGTGGAAATATGGTGTAACGTGTATGTATACTACACTGCTACATTTGACCCCTACAGTAGACCTTTCAGTTTTGAAATTTTGTAAAACAATTAAAGTGTCACAAGAAATAACTATGAGTGATGTACAACGACAGAGAAACGACATGCAGGAATAGATGTTCTAAAAAATCAGACAGACAGAATGTCACATGTCTGTTTACTTTCATGGGAGTAGTTCTCCGAATCCTGTCGGCTATCGACCCCATGGTCATTCCTGGTTAGAACTGGATTGTTGCTCATAACATCAATCACTGGATTGTCTGGTCCTGACTGGAATATTTACAGGCCACATTCATATTGCTGGAATATTGCTGAGAACAGGAAGTGTGTTATCTTGGGACACCTCATTATTTATATAAGGCTGATACAACGTGGTCCTGATACCAGAACCCGTAAAGATCCGGGGTAGAATAGGTCTTCAGCAACCCATGCATACCGTAAAAGGGGACTATGCTTGTCATAAAAGGCGACTAACGGGATCGGGTGGTCAGGCTCGCTGACTTGGTTGATGCATGTCATTGATCCCAATTGCGTGGATCGATGGTCATGATATTAATCACTGGATTGTCTGGTCCAGACTTGATTATTTACAGACCGCCATCATGTAGCTGGAATATTGCAGAGTGCGGGGTTAAACAACAAACCAACCTGATACCGGAATATGCTGACTTACGCAACTGAGCTACGTGACACAGGAGTTGAGTTCATTGGCAAATTGTCTTTGGGGACAACTATACTTACAATTTGATAAGGATGCGAAAAGTGGAAATGAAACTGAGAGAAATTATTTAGAAACGTCCTGTATTTTCTTGTGCTGTGTTGTGCTGTCGGCCCTGATACCCACAGATGGTTTAACCCTGGCCATGATATATCTGATCCTGAAAATATAATGTAAAGCTGTTGATAAATATATACATAACCTTTAAACTCCTGGTACTCAATCATACAGTTTTGATATGGATTCAAGTGTGTGCCTGCATGGACGTATTGCTATAGCCCGTACTAATGCTATGAATATATTATGACCAAATAGGTGTGTCATGGGAGATTACCCTAGGAATTAATGACCATTAGCTGAGCGTAACGTTACCGGCCTTTGAGAAGCAGTGAACCATGTTTTGCCAGATGTCATCAGTGTTGCACAAGTGACCCTGTTGAATGTTGAAAGGTAATGATATACATGTTTATAACGACCAGGTAATGACATACCTGTGTTTAGTGACCAAGTAATGTGACGTGGTCGGTCTGACACACCTACATTGTTGTATGGGGACTTATAAACCCCACAGTGTAAACAGCATAATAACTGATACACGTGAATGAACAGAGAATAATGTGTACCATTGAACAAGTTAATCACTACTTGAAATAGTTAATCACTGCTTTTACGTGCTTGCAAGTACTGTCGTGTGCTTGAAGGATATTGCTACCTCAGCTTTCTGGGCCAAAAACTTTTGAGACAACTAGTCTGAAAACTGGTCTTGACATAATCTTCAGTTGGATTTAGTGTTATTATATGGATTATTATTAGCTGAGCTTACCAGACCAAACAGAATTTTACCAGACTTGCGCTTGGGATTAGTGGCTAAAGTCGTAGACCGTGAGCACCCTCCTGCAAAAGGATTGGGTTGGACTGAGGGAGTGGTGCAGCTCGTGCTATCGTGCCACACCATCCATGGTCAACACACCGCTATGCACAGTCAGCACCTATTCTGAAACTGACCTTTATTAATTACAAGTCCAAATAGTGATGACAAAATTAAAGGACACAGAAAAAGAAGCCTGAGATTCGACCATGTCTACCTTCCTCACAATCCCCAAACATTACCTAAATGACAATGTCTATCTGTGACTAATGGATTCTGGAGAGACAGTTCTGGCAGTTCAATACCTTGGTTGTGGGGATATGGTTCCAGAATGGATAACACAGTTAAATAATTTAAAAGTCACAGAGTCAAGCGGCTACAGGCCAAGTCTGAGTTTATAGAATAGACTCTTGTTGACTCAGTGAGAAGAAGTCGGAGCAACAATGTGTAACAGACTTTGTGTCGGCCATGTTCCATGATGCTACCTTACTTTGATTGACTGATGACATCACACTATGCCCTTAAAGGGTCAGTAAGCTTGGGATAGTTGGCATTCCCAGTAAATTTGATTCATGTGAATAATAATCCCACTTTCTGTGTTTCCAAATTCAAACTTGTCATTTATATGAATATAACAGTAATGATTACCATATATATAGAGAGATGTTGTCTCATTTATTAATTACGTCTACATTTCGACTCAGGACCATGAACATGTTGAAGCACAGTGCCCCTTTAAGAGGGTTGATCTATGCCAAATCAGGTCCATTTTCTGTCTGGACTTTGTAATTAATGTGAAACAAACATTGTTGCTGTAATTAGGGCTATCATGACCTGCTTGATTATATCGTTATGAATTTACTGAATGTTAGTGAGCAGACAGAGTGGTGTTTGAATGACCTGTGAAGATCTGGGGTAGAATAGGTCTTCAGCAACCCATGCTTGTCATAAGAGGCGACTTACAGGATTGGTAGGTCAGGCTTGCTGACTTGGTTGATGCTTGTCATCGATCGCAATTGCATGGATCGATGCTGAGACATGATGTCATCCACTGGATTGTCTGGTCCAGACTCAATCATTTACCGATCGCCGTTATATAGCTGGAATATTGCTGAGTGCGGCTTTACACAACAAATAAACAAACAAACAAGCGAATAGTGAAATGGCTTGAGCAGAGAGATGTTCTCAATGCAGGAAAATTCAAATATGATTAAAATAATGAAATGTTTCTCTGCCTGTGGTTGTGGAGAGAGGTTGAGGGATGGGAGATTGTCTTCCAGCAGCTACATCATCACCATGATCACAGCGGTGGTTGACGATGACCTCCTCATCCTTGCTGCTGAGCAGCCCCCTGTAATCTGACCAGCAGTTTCTGTCAGTGTAGCACCTGACGGGGGTCGGTGGGACTTCCTCGTCTCCTGACCACAGCTAATCACCATGCCCACTCGCACGGGGTAATCAGTTACCAAACACGCCCACTCACACGGGGTAATCCATTACCAGCCACGCCCACTCACACGGGGTAATCAGTTACCAGCCACGCCCACACACATGGGGTAATCACATATGCCATCATGGGAAGTGCCACTTGCAGCAGATCTGGTGTAGACCCATGCAGTGATGTCATGTTACAACTTGTGTGTGCGACACTGGCAGAGTTACACTAGGGGATGTGTCAGCATGGAATAAGTTTTCTCATCAGGGAGTTGATGTTTCTTACTGATTCAAATAACCATTTACAAGTCAACACAAGATGGTTAACATAGGTCTAGGACGTAAGAACACGGAACAACATCACTGACATGGTCCCAGACAGCCCTGATCTAGCCCAAGGTAGTGTGGTCCCAGATCTGGCCCAAGGTAGTGTGGTCCCAGATCTGGCCCAAGGTAGTGTGGTCCCAGATCTGGCCCAAGGTAGTGTGGTCCCAGATCTGGCCCAAAGTAGTGTGGTCCCAGATCTGGCCCAAGGTAGTGTGGTCCCAGATCTGGCCCAAGGTAGTGTGGTCCCAGATCTGGCCAAAGGTAGTGTGGTCCCAGATCTGGCCCAAAGTAGTGTGATCCCAGATCTAGCTGGTCCCAGATCTAGCCAAGGGTAGTGTGGTCCCAAATCTAGTGTGGTCCCAGATGTAGCCCAAGGTAGTGTGGACCTTGATCTAGCCCAAGGTAGTGTGATCCCTGACAGCACTTCACTGAGTATTTGGGTCACAGTTAACGCTTCACTTAGTAGCTCGGTCACGGCTCGCACTTTATTCAGTAGTGTTTGCCTTCATGTTCAGGAGGGATTTGCCGATAAGATCATTTGAGACAGCAGTATTTATGTAAATACACTTTTATATACCCCTGTCTCTCATACCTATAGTATGAGTGGTGTTTTCTATTTATACATATTGTACATGCCCCACCCCCATGTATTGTTGGTAACACAGCCATTCCAGGGACCTCCCCCTGATAATGTGACACAATGTTTGCATGACATAAACATTTCAGGCCACAGTAGTATTAGCCTGCACTGAAAGAAAAGTCCACGGATGTGTTATAATTCTATCCTCCTAAAAGGCAAGTCTAGATATGTGGACAGACTCCAGTCTCTCATAGGGACAACTTGTTGTTATTTACTTAATCTAGAACTTATGATTTAAACTAATAATTATTTGCCTTTGAGACTTGTGCAAGTCTACAGCAGCATGTGTCTAGAAGGTCAGCAGCTGATCACTGCTGATTGTCCTGCTTGACTGCGTGACTATTGTCCTCCTCCTCTGTACATACACAACTGGTATTTGTAGTTTCCAGTTACACATGCTATTACCTGGAATTACCACCCTAGTTCACTGTCACTGGCCTATTGATTGGTAATGAATTGTCAAATGAATTTCTGAGTGAAATTTTTTTCAAACTACTTACATTTCAAACCTGTATAACAAGTAGCCAGAAGACGGAAAGATTATTGAGCTCTGCTGACATCAGACATCTGCTGGTTTCAGATTTAATAATGCCAGAATGGTATACTATACCAGGGATGTACCCTGTCTTACGAAAGTGGGGGTCCAGAGTACCCCAATAATAGAATTTTAGGGATCCTTGAAGGCAATATAAGGGTCCAATCAAGTAATGAAATGGTGAAGTGCACTGTGCGTTTCGATAATTACGTAAGAATGAATCAATGATCATGTTGACAGTGGTCATTAGACTAACATTTAGTCTCTGAAATCTTATATTACACAATATCCTTCTAGACTCTTAAAATTAAAAAAAAATTCCCTATGCTGATTTCAGAGCTAGCTTGAGCTGGCTAGACTTGCTTTTGTATGTATTTCTAGATTATTTTTTTTTCATAAAATAAACATGGTGCAGGACTAAGTGGTCATGACTGATGGATGAAATAACAGGCACCCATCTCTGCTCTTGATGCGCTGCAGGTACAATGATGCATCGTATTCTTTCCGTCTATTCTCTACATTTGTGTGTCACTTAGAAACTTGGTATACACTGCATTCTGTCCTAGCCATTGTTAACAGACAACGTTTCCTTCCTTTTCCTTACACACACGTTTCTGTGAAGACTGTTGTGTTTTCTCTGGGAGGGAAGGGGTAGCCTCAGTTTTCCCAGGGAGTATGTTTGATGGGGGAAATTCAGACCTGCTACACCATGTCAGGGATTGACAACATTGGTCATTTCCGACTTGTGCTTAATGTAAAATAACTAGATTATTGGAGAAAGCAACTAGTCGTTCACAATCTGAAAGTAACCATGGTCACAAAATGTGGCCATGTCTACCCTGTGTGTACAGGGAGTGAAGTGAAAACATGATTGAAGTGATGTTAACAAAGAGTAAAAGGGGAAGTTAGACATGGCCGTCAATGACAGCTCACAGCAAGCGTGGATCTGGCAGCATATCATTTGTGTTTTTCAAGTTGCTACTTGCCACCACTAATTGAGAGTCCTGCCTTACAGGAATGGAAATCTGCCATCCGTCGAGTTGTTACAAGAAGTGTAACTTAATTACGTTTATGAGTGTATTCATACGTATTATTAGTGCAAAGTCATTACCTGGCCAGAGACTGCGCACTGTGTGGCATCAGGGGACTTGATTGCCCCACTCTCGAACACAGAAAGACGGATGAATGCCCTAACGTTTAGTCTCTGAAAATATATAATTTTGAAAGAAACAAACAAAAGGAGCCCAAGTGAGATGGGAGATTCCTGAACCTGAGGAAATTCTAGACTTGCTTCATTTCGGGGGCTTACAGTAAGGGCTGGGCAGATGGGAAAATAATATGAGACAGACTACCCACCCCTCATATTGATGTGAGTCTTCCCCCCCTATTCTGATGATAAATGCCTACCGCCTCCAATACTGATGTGAGCTTCCCCCAACGCCCATGCTGATGTGAGTTTCCCCCAAACCAAGACTGATGTGAGTTTCCCCCAACCCCTAGACTGATGTGAGTTTCCCCCAAACCAAGACTGATGTGAGTTTCCCCCAACCCCTAGACTGATGTGAGTTTCCCCCAACCCCCAGACTGATGTGAGTTTCCCCCAACCCCCAGACTGATGTGAGTTTCCCCCAACCCCCAGACTGATGTGAGTTCCCCCATCCTCATATTGATGTGAGGTTCCCCTGTCCCCAGACTGATGTGAGTACCCCCCACCCACCCCAGACTGATGTGAGCTTCCCCCACCCCCTAGACTGATGTGAGTTCCTCACACCCCCAGACTGATGTTAGTTTCCCCCACCCCCACCCCCCAGACTGATGTGAGATTCCCCCACCCCCTAGACTGATGTGAGTTCCTCACACCCCCAGACTGATGTTAGTTTCCCCCACCCCCACCCCCCAGACTGATGTGAGCTTCCCCCACCTCCTAGACTGATGTGAGTTCCTCACATCCCCAGACTGATGTTAGTTTCCCCCACCCACTAGACTGATGTGAGTTTCCCCCACCCCCATGCTGATGTGTGTTCCCCCCTTCCCCAGACTGGTGTGAGTTTCCCCTTCCCCTGACTGATGTAAGTTTCCCCTTCCCCTGACTGACGTGAGTATCCCCCACCCCCAGACTGATATGTGTTCCCCCCCCTTCCCCCAGACTGATGTGAGTTCCCCCTTTCCTCATACTGATGTGAATTTCCCCCACCCCCCAGACTGATGTGTGTTCCCCCCCTTTCCCAGACTGATATGAGTTTCCCCCACCCCCAGACTGATGTGAGTTCCCCCCTTCCACAGACTGATGTGAGCTCCCCCACCCCCAGACTGATGTGAGCTCCCCCACCCCCAGACTGATGTGAGCTCCCCCACCCCCAGACTGATGTGAGCTCCCCCACCCCCAGACTGATGTGAGCTCCCCCACCCCCAGACTGATGTGAGTTCCCCCCTTCCCCAGACTGATGTGAGCTCCCCCACTCACAGACTGATGTGAGTCCCCCACCCTCCAGGTCTGCTGGAGGGTGGGTCCTGTAGGGCTACAGGTACAATATGATCACAGACTGATGTGAGTCCCCCACCCTCCAGGTCTGCTGGAGGGTGGGTCCTGTAGGGCTACAGGTACAATATGATCACAGACTGTCTGCCCCACCTTCACACTCCCCTCAGTTTCAGTTCATAATTAAGCAAGAAATGGAAATGGAAACAACATGTTCCTGTCCCGGATGAACTGTGTGTTTCTACGGCAACACAAAGAGTATTGACACTAACACTTGCTTTATTTCACAAGTCATTGATAACAGGAACAGGCACTTGCTGTTTTGCCAGATTTAGATTGAAATACAATGAATGGTGGTGATACGGGCCCTTACAATTATGTGTGTACTTGCAGGTAAGCCGTGAGCCCTGTTGCCTCGACAATGATGAATGGCACGGAGTATGACGCCGACCCCGCTGCCCAGTTGTTTGATCAGTTCATCAGCGCCGTCACATGCAAGAGCATTCTGGGAACCTTCCACGACCTCTGTGACAGCCTTGGCCTCACCAACACTGACCATCGCAACTTCTACAAACAGCTAAAATCCAATCTGACGTCATGGAAGGCCAAATCATTATGGACAAAATTGGACAAGCGGGCATCACATCGCGACTATCGCAAGATGGAGGCATGTCCAAATACAAAGGTAATTTGACTTTGATTGTGTGTCACTGAACCGATGTTTTCTCTTGGCATCAAAATGAAGAACTGGGTTTCTCTTCTCCATACTCAATTATTTACAGGCTGCTGATAGCATCTGTTGTATTGTGGCCTTAAAACAGCATCCGCTCACCTTCTTATAAATGTTTATGCTGGATAAGGGCTGAGGCATAGTCAAGTGGTTAAGGTGTTCGCTCTTAAAGCCAACGGCCCGAGTTCGATTCCCCAATGGGTGAAATGTGTGAAACCCGTTTCTGGTGTTTCCCTGCCATGATAGTGCTGGAATATTACTTAAAGCGGCAGACTGCAAGACCAATACAGCATAGCTTTTGCCTAACTGTGAAGTTAAAAACATGTCTAGTTGTACCATGCTGTACCCAAGCAACCTGTGCTTGTTGTAAGTGTCTTCTAAAAGGATCAGGGTTCCAAGGCTTGGTTACTTGCGTGTCAACATACCTCATTGATATGGATCGTTGCTCATATCAACCACTGGATTGCCTGGTGAGACTCGTATATTTACATGTTGCCATCATATAGCTGGGATATTGCTGAGTACAGCATCAGACGACAACACACCATGTATTGTGGAAGTGGCCACCATTGAAGATCCAGGGTAGAATAGGTCTTCAGCAACCTGTGCTTGCTGTTAAAGGCGACTATGCTTGTCGAAAGAGGTCAGGCTCGCTGACTTGGTGGCAGCATGTCATCGTATCTCAGTTGTGTAGATCGATGCTCATGATATAAATCACTGGATTGTCTGGTCCAGACTTGAATATTTACAGACTGCCATCATATAGCTGGAATATTGCTGAGTGCAGCGTTTAACAACAAACCAACAAGCAGATTGAGGAGTGGTAGAAATGTGTGTGTGTGTTGCAGGTGCTGATTATTGGTGCTGGCCCGTGCGGGATGCGCATGGCCATCGAAGTGGCGCTGATGGGAGGGAAGGCCGTTGTGGTAGAGAAGAGAGACCGGTTCTCTCGGAATAATGTCCTTCACCTTTGGAACTACCTCATCTCTGATCTGAAGAACCTTGGTGCAAAGAAATTCTTTGGCAAATTTTGTGCTGGTTCCATTGAACACATCAGTAGGTATACATGGTATAGCAACTGGTTGCACTGAACACATCAGTAGGTATACATGGTATAGCAACTGGTTGCACTGAACACATCAGTAGGTATACATGCTATAGCAACTGGCTGCACTGAACACATCAGTAGGTACACATGGTATAGCAACTGGTTGCACTGAACACATCAGTAGGTATACATGGTATAGCAACTGGTTGCACTGAACACATCAGCAGGTATACATGGTATAGCAACTGGTTGCACTGAACACATCAGTAGGTAGACATGGTATAGCAACTGGTTGCACTGAACACATCAGTAGTTATACATGGTATAGCAACTGGTTGCACTGAACACATCAGTAGTTATACATGGTATAGCAACTGGTTGCACTGAACACATCAGTAGTTATACATGGTATAGCAATTGGCTGCACTGAACACATCAGTAGGTATACATGGTATAGCAACTGGTTGCACTGAATACATCAGTAGGTAACTAACTGGCTGTAGTCAGAAAATATTGAAATCCTGTAAAGTCACAAATTAATAGGGTCAGAAATTGTTTTTCGTTAGTCGTTGGCTCAAGATATCACGGACCATTTGTCGTCAACAGTGAACAGAAATCAAAACCAATGATGAATCAATACCACTGTATGTGTATTTTGAATGACAATACTTGCCTTGAAAATATATACTTTGTCAAACAATTTGGAAAACTTACATATCCAATATTTCGTTTGTTTCAAACGCACAGCTAATCACATAAACATATGTGATATATCTGTTTAAGTTTAAGCCCTTAGATTCATGAGCCACTGACGTACAGGTTCTTCCTCCCTGATTTACAATGGTTTCACTATGTAGTACGTGCTGTAGCTCTGTTATCCCAGCACTATACAGTGGTGTTTCCGACAGGTATCCGCCAGTTGCAGTGTATCCTCATGAAGGTGGCGCTACTGTTGGGTGTGGAGGTCCATGTCAACGTAGCGTTTGAGGAACTCATCGAACCGCCAGAAGATCAGTCAAGTCGTGAGTAATTAATCTTATTGGTTATTAGCTACTGCAGTGCCTGATTCATACTCCTTTGTGTGAAGATGTCTGTATGATGAGGTTTGGGGTTAGAGGGGTAGTGGGTGGTTGACGTGTTGCCTGGTCAGGCCGAGACTAGCATCAGCACACTCGTACATGTCTGGTATGCCCTTGGGATATGGCAGGAATATGGCTAAAAGCAGATCAAACCCTTCGCGTTCACTCCCTCACTCCCACCCTCACTTTATAAGTCAATTCTTATAAATATATTTGTCAACAATAATAACTTCACAGACTGCATATTTAATCATTAACAGACTAAAAAAAGTAGAAATACAAAATCAGAGACATTGTTCAGAGCAGTAACGCAACGCCAGCCCCACCCATTCTTTTATCAACCAATCAAGAAACAGTAGGCCGAAAATGAGCATGGCCTATGCTTTTCTTTTTGGTGTAGGGGGTGGTTATGGAAACAGAAATCCCTAAAATAATGCTTGGGATAGCCAATCAAATACGATGGAATAACTTGCAGTTTAGTTATGTTTTCATGAAGCAGAATGTACAGCATAAGTGTTCCTAAACAAAATGTAACGTATTCGACATAATAAGCACCCAGGGCGCTCTCAAAATTAGAAATGGGGGGCTCTTATTAGAATATTGGGAGCACGGGTGGCCCAGTCGTCTAAGGCGCCGCGATTCGCTGTGCAGAGTTGCGTCCCTTGGGCACGCCAGAAACCTATGATTGTGGGTTCGAATCTCGGTTCGCCCCGATTATGTTTCTAGGTTTGTCAGCACCATACCCGTGCTCGTGGGTTTCACCGAAGTGGTAAACGTCTGCGACCTGCATCACTTCGGGCTTTCCTCCCACATTAAGCTGACACGCCGCGATATAACTGGAATACTGTTAAAAGCGGCGTTAAACCTAACTCACTCACTCACTCACTATTAGAATATTATTTTGGTGAAAAACAACAGAGTTCAAAGAGCGTAAATTTCGTGGTTTATGCTGAAATGTTTATAAACGACAGATATATTTTTCCAGAATTTAATTGCCCATAATTAAGGGTGCATATAACAAACGTATTATGCACGAATAAATAACCTTGTGTACATTTATCAATCAGAAGGGGTGCTAATTGGGATTGTTCACTAGCCAGTATATTAGCAAATATCGCCGTGGGCGCTTATTAGAGCGGGGCGCTTATTACGTGGAATACGGTATTTGTGTCCAATGTAGAACCTGGGAGTTGGACTGCACGTCACATTGCATCAGTAAAGCAAGGTCCGGGAAACCCTGTGTGTTGGTACACTTGTTAGGTAGCATGCCCTCGTATTTGTCTGGTTTTGTTCCTACTGTAGGACCCTGTACAACAGTCATCAGTGACATGTAACCCGTGAAGATCAGGGGTAAAATAGGTCTTCTGCAACCCATGCTTGCCATAAGAGGCGACTATGCTTGTCGTAAGAGACGACTAACTGGATTGGGTGGTCAGGCTCACTGACTTTGTTGATACATGTCATCGTATCCAAATTGCCTAGATCGATGCTCATGATATCAATCACTGGATTGCCTGGTCCAGACTCAATTATTTACAGACTGCTATCATATAGCTGAAATATTGCAGAGTGTGACGTTAAACAACAAACAAACAGATATGTAACCATGGTAACTAAGTGATGCCTCCTGCTTACAGCGATGGGATGGCGCTGCCGTGTGACCCCTAGCAACCACCCGGTGTCGGAATACCAGTTTGATGTCCTCATTGGCGCCGATGGCAAGAGAAACACAGTGCCAGGTACAGTTATCTCCCCTCTGCTAGATACTGGAGTCCATTTCTCTTTGTGTTCAAACTTATTACTTTAGAATCTCGGTGGAAACACCGTAATCCCCCACATACCACAATCTAGTCAATGTGAACCTCAGTCTTCACTTGTCCAGGGTAGCATGTCCATTATGACAAATACCCTGGACCCATTTGCCAGCAAAGTTTATTTTGAGTTTGAAATGACACTACATTAATAAGAGCCATCCAATAAAATCACTTGATTTTGGTTACAGATTTCTGTTTTAATGTTATGTGTCAAATACACCTGGTAGCATTACCTCCCCTTGTCTAATACTCAGAAAGACATCTTTCTCAGCCAGAATTTCATTCATATTTGTAAAAATGATCAAATAAACTATTAAATGCTTGGTAAAAGGCCAGTAATTTTGAATGTAGATTTATGCTGAACATCTCTTTTGGAAGAATCATTTTGATTGGTTGTCGAGTTCAAGTTCACCAGCAACGGGAATTCTGTGCTAGGTTAGCGATATAGGAGATGGAGCTGGTCATGTCAGTTCCACAACATGGGTCAATGGCGTGTGGATCCATGTACATCCAGATGGAATGGAGACACCATAAGACACTGGACAATCGTGGTTGCGGGGGTTAAGCAGGGACACTGTCTGTTCCAGGTTTCAAGAGGAAAGAGTTTCGTGGAAAGCTGGCTATAGCCATCACCGCCAACTTCATCAACCGCAACTCGAATGCGGAGGCACGGGTGGAGGAGATCAGTGGCGTGGCGTTCATCTTCAACCAAAAGTTCTTCCTGGACCTGAAGGAGAAGACCTCCATCGACCTGGAGAACATCGTGTACTACAAGGACGAGACCCACTACTTTGTGATGACGGCCAAGAAGGCCAGTCTGCTGGAGAAGGGCGTGCTCAAAGAGGTGAGGGGAGTCTCCCAGTTTCCCCATTCTGTTGGATGATGATGAACAAATGAGTTAAATATCACCATAAGGGGACCGAGTCAAGAGAAAAGGGCAGACTCAGCAAATTTGATTTAGCCCTAAAACAGTCGTGTATTTTCAATTTTATGATTTTGGTCAGTTGAGCACTTAACGATAATCTAATTACACAGAGCCAGTGTCTCCATGTTACATCTGGCACCTGGTATTGGAGTTGGGGTTGGTATATTTTTTTTTAAATGTTGTAAATACTCAGTCTAAATTTAGATTTCCAAAACAATTTTATTGCATCAGTTATGACTCTTATCAGAAACTTTTCCTAGTATTTCAGGAAATTATTATGTCGAATTCTCAGGAATTACGCATCATGTAAAACCAGCTGATGACCTACTTCCTCTTGCAGGACTACAATGACACTGTGCAGCTCCTGTCCCGAGAGAACGTAGACCAGGATGCATTGCTGACCTATGCAAAAGAGGCGGCTGACTTCTCCACCAATCACCAGCTTCCATGTCTGGACTACGCTGTCAATCACTACGGCCAGGCCGATATAGCCATGTTTGACTTCACGTCCATGTTTGCGGCAGAAAATGCCTGTCGAGCCCTGGAGAGGCATGGTCACAAACTTGCGATCGCAATTGTCGGGGACAGCTTACTGGAGGTAAAAGTGTTTGATAGACATTACTTAGAAGTTCACGGATGACAAAGTAGACACAATTTGTCAAGTAAGGACAATGGTTTAAGGATCTATACCAAAACGTCGCCTTTACAGTAAATAAACAAGTTGTTGTCCATAAATTGTGTTTACTTTTGTCATAGGAAAAGGTTTTGTTATTGTTGAGGTATGTAATTGGTACTTTGTATGGAGGACTCTCATCTCAAAGCAAACAGTGTGGTGACATAACTATAGGCAGATAACTTTAAACACACTTCAGCCGCATGGTGTGATGTATTTTCACGAATGACACATAATTTGCATTATGAAAGAAACAACGTTACGAAAAAAAAAATCTTTTTATTAGGCTATCAGATTATTAAGGCATTAAAATGTCTTAAAAAAGGTCACATTTTGATGGATTGATGTGTAAAATTGAAGTGAAAGAGGAAAGACACAATTGAGCGTCCAAAATGGTGTTCATGATATAACATCTGATCATATGTCCGTCTCTCACAGCCCTTCTGGCCGACTGGGTCTGGATGTGCAAGGGGCTTCCTTGGTGTGTTTGACGCAGCCTGGATGATCAAGAGCTGGGCGTCAGGCAAGATGTCCCCCATTGAGGTGATCGCAGAGAGGGAGAGTATCTACCAGCTCCTGTCACAGACCACGCCCGAGAATCTCCACAAGAACCATGGCCAGTACTCTATCGATCCAAACACAAGGTCAGTGGGAGGGGAGGAGGTAGATGAATCTTACTTCAGAATCCTACTGGCAATTGACTAGTTGTAGGTTTGAGTTTTCTCATGCTGATGTTTCCATGGAAACTCTATTTCAGGTACCCCAACCTGAACCTGAAGAACCGCCTGAAACTGGCCCAGGTGAAGCACCTGTACGACGGCCCTCTTGACAATCTCCTCATAGAGGAGGCAGTGGATGATGCTGGGCCTGCCAAGCGGTCGCGCATCTGTGGCACAACCGTCAACAGTAAGTCAGATACTCGGGTTAAATAAATCCCTACTCTAGCACTCACTCATTTATTCTTGTTGTATTGATGTTAGAGCTGCGTTCTTTTCATTGTCACGCAAAGTAGGGTCCACTGTAGTATGAACATGCCTTCTTTTTGCCTAACGTCAGGCCATGATCAATAACGTTGCCATATGACATCATAGTTAAATTGCATACTTGTATAAACAAACATGCCATCTGGCTTTTATGCCTTCAATGGCTCACAAAAAATTCTCTCACCGAAGTTGACGGAATCGATGACCAAGGTCAAATGACGTCATACCACCTGCATTGACGTAAGCCATTGTTGATGATATGTTTCTTGGCCAGTGTCACACTGACCTCTGCTGTGTTCCTCGTGTGAATAACAACTGCTTACTGTTCATTGTGTTGATGTCGGGACACTCATGCTGAGGGCAAAGTCTGTCCATCTGGGCCATAATAACGGTAATGCTCGGTTACTTAATAGCACGCCTGATAAATGGCGTTACATTTATAATGGCTGCCCACGAAAGAGCTGTGACATGCTGCCTTTCATTATGTGACTGTCATGGCAAGTGTACCTAATTGTCTACATTTCACCCCCTGTATACTTGATGCTTGCAGATGATCTGATAGACAGCTATTCTCTCCTGCGATGGTGTCAGCGGGTACTCAACACGGGCAGGTTCCGCAACGTTCACGTGGTGGACTTTGCTGGATCGTGGAGGAACGGCCTTGCATTCTGTGCCTTAATACATGCCTTCAGGCCGACACTGCTGTAAGTACCAGCCTGGGAGCAGTCACCAGGGAGGGGTTGTACAAAGCAGTCTTAGCTCTAAGGTGATCCACACCTTAACATAGACTTACGACAGTTGTAGCGCTAAGGTGATCCACACCTTAACATAGACTTACAACAGTCGTAGCGCTAAGGTGATCCACACCTTAACATAGACTTACAACAGTTGTAGCTCTAGGTGATCCATACCTTAACATAGACTTACGACAGTCGTAGCTCTAAGGTGATCCATACCTTAACATAGACTTACGACAGTCGTAGCGCTAAGGTGATCCACACCTTAACATAGACTTACGACAGTCTTAGCTCTAAGGTGATCCACACCTTAACATAGACTTATGACAGTCTTAGCTCTAAGGTGATCCACACCTTAACATAGACTTACGACAGTCGTAGCGCTAAGGTGATCCATACCTTAACATAGACTTACGACAGTTGTAGCTCTGGGGTGATCCATACCTTAACATAGACTTACGACAGTGGTATCTCTAAGGTGATCCATACCTTAACATAGACTTACAACAGTTGTAGCTCTGGGGTGATCCATACCTTAACATAGACTTACAACAGTTGTAGCTCTAAGGTGATCCACACCTTAACATAGACTTACGACAATCGTAGCGCTAAGGTGATCCACACCTTAACATAGACTTACAACAGTCTTAGCTCTAAGGTGATCCACACCTTAACATAGACTTACGACAGTCGTAGCGCTAAGGTGATCCATACCTTAACATAGACTTACGACAGTTGTAGCTCTGGGGTGATCCATACCTTAACATAGACTTACGACAGTTGTAGCTCTGGGGTGATCCATACCTTAACATAGACTTACGACAGTGGTATCTCTAAGGTGATCCATACCTTAACATAGACTTACAACAGTTGTAGCTCTGGGGTGATCCATACCTTAACATAGACTTACGACAGTTGTAGCTCTGGGGTGATCCATACCTTAACATAGACTTACGACAGTGGTATCTCTAAGGTGATCCATACCTTAACATAGACTTACAACAGTTGTAGCTCTGGGGTGATCCATACCTTAACATAGACTTACAACAGTTGTAGCTCTAAGGTGATCCACACCTTAACATAGACTTACAACAGTCGTAGCTCTAAGGTGATCCATACCTTAACATAGACTTATGACAGTCGTAGCTCTAAGGTGATCCATACCTTAACATAGACTTACGACAGTCGTAGCTCTGGGGTGATCCATACCTTAACATAGACTTAAGATAGCCGTAGCGCTAAGGTGATCCATACCTTAACATAGACCTACAACAGTTGTAGCTCTAAAGTGATCCATACCTTAACATAGACTTATGACAGTTGTAGCTCTGGGGTGATCCATACCTTAACATAGACTTATGACAGTTGTAGCTCTAAGGTGATCCATACCTTAACATAGACTTACAACAGTCATAGCTCTAAGGTGATCCATACCTTAACATAGACTTATGACAGTCTTAGCTCTAAGGTGATCCATACCTTAACATAGACTTACGACAGTCGTAGCTCTAAGGTGATCCATACCTTAACATAGACTTACGACAGTGGTATCTCTAAGGTGATCCATACCTTAACATAGACTTACAACAGTCATAGCTCTAAGGTGATCCATACCTTAACATAGACTTATGACAGTCTTAGCTCTAAGGTGATCCATACCTTAACATAGACTTACGACAGTCGTAGCTCTGGGGTGATCCATACCTTAACATAGACTTAAGATAGCTGTAGCGCTAAGGTGATCCATACCTTAACATAGACTTATGACAGTTGTAGCTCTGGGGTGATCCATACCTTAACATAGACTTACAACAGTCGTAGCTCTAAGGTGATCCGTACCTTAACATAGACTTATGACAGTCGTAGCTCTAAGGTGATCCATACCTTAACATAGACTTATGACAGTCGTAGCTCTAAGGTGATCCAGACCTTAACATAGACTTACAACAGTCGTAGCTCTAAGGTGATCCACACCTTAACATTGACTTACAACAGTCGTAGCTCTAAGGTGATCCATACCTTAACATAGACTTATGACAGTCGTAGCTCTAAGGTGATCCATACCTTAACATAGACTTACGACAGTCATAGCTCTAAGGTGATCTATACCTTAACATAGACTTACAACAGTCGTAGCTCTGGGGTGATCCATACCTTAACATAGACTTACGACAGTCGTAGCTCTAAGGTGATCCATACCTTAACATAGACTGACAACAGTCGTAGCTCTGGGGTGATCCATACCTTAACATAGACTTACGACAGTCGTAGCTCTAAGGTGATCCATACCTTAACATAGACTTACAACAGTCATAGCTCTTAGGTGACATTTTTTTCAAGAAATATTTACTTGCATAAAATATCAAATTGTTGATGCACCGGTCATGTGACACAATCTACAGGGAACTAATTGTTGATGCACCGGTCACGTGTCACATTACTCTGTTTCACGTGAAATTGTGCTTCTGTACCCATCAATAACTCCACAGCTTCAGCCCAAGTTGCAATCTGTGTGTGCTGATGTCATTATTCCCTTCAGTTATCCCCATCAATCACCCAAGATTCAGGTAAGCTTGGTGTCCTCACATGTTTCTTTGTGTGTTGCAGGGACTTCAATCTCTTGATGGAGAGTGACGTGGCCAAGAACAATCAACTGGTAAGTTTCAAGTGAATCTGGGGCGGTTGGTAGCCTAGTGGTTAAAGCGTTCGCTCATCATGCCGGGTTCGATTCCCAAGATGGGTACAATGTGTGAAGCCCATTTCTGGTGTCACGTGCTGTGATATTGCTGGAATATTGCTAAAAGCAGCGTAAAACCCTACTCACTCACTCGCTCAAATAAACCTACGACGCTTGTAACATTTTGTTACTGGCAACCGCACTGCAAGTTTATTAATGACCTATTGTTTATCACTGAAAGGTTAAGGATAGTGAATTTCCAATGATCAAACATGACTGAGATAGAGAACTTGTCCTGACTCAGAGTAAGTGGTGGTGCCATGCTTTCATTTGATTGATCGTGTGATCATTTTGATAGAAACACTGATAATACTGTTAATAATATATTATTACATTTTTTTATGATAATACAGATACTCATGCTAATAATACCAAACATATGGATGATAATGAAAAAATATATTAATATTCCAATTATTTAATAATACTTTTGATGATAATAATATGATAAGGCAAATGATAAGGATGATGACAGTTATGATACTGGTTCTGTCTGTAGGCCTTTGATGTAGCTGAGAAGGATCTTGGCGTGCCCCCGGTGATGACTGGCGAGGACATGGCCAAGTCCCAAATCCCTGACAAGCTGACACTGGTGTCCTACATCTCACAGCTCTACGCCATCTTCCGCAAGGAGCCATTGCCCACAGGTCAGTCCCCCACGGCTAGCCTGCTCCCACTGCATGCTGGGATTACTGGCGCAACCTTTATGTCCTGCTTGATATGTCTGAAAAACCCGGTAGGGATTCCGGGTTAGAATTGGTCACCATTTATCCTATGCTGGTCGTAAGAGGTGACCAAAAGAATCAGGTGGTCAGGCTCATGACTTGGTTGACAGCGTGTCCTCCTACCTCCACAGCGTGGAATGTTGCTCACAATGGCTAGCCTGGCCCCATTGCATGCTGGGATTACTAGCGCAACTTTCATGTCTCGGTTGAAAGAGATTGGGGGATTTGCTCTTGTAAGAGAATGGGTTTGGATCATTTTATTTAAAAATATACAATTATAGAAACTTTATGTGTGTGTCTGATCAGATTTTTCATTTGAGGTTTTTGGTATTTCCTTGCTCCAGTTTTTATGCATAGATTGTCCTTTACTAACGAACAGGAGAAACTCAAGGGGGATTCTCATACTAACCTACACCTGCTTTGCAGGGGCACGGGTGGCCCAGTCTTCTAAGGTGCCGTGATTTGCTGTGCGGAGTTGCGTCCCTTGGGCACACCAGAAACCTATGATTGTGGGTTCGAATCCCGGTTCCCCTGATTATGTTTCTAGGATTGTCAGCACCATACCCGTGCTCGTGGGTTTCACTGAAGTGGTAAACGTCTGAGACCTGCATCACTTCGGGTTTTCCTCCCACATTTATCTGACACGCCGTGATATAACTGGAATACTGTTAAAAGCGGCATTAAACCGAACTCACTCACTCACTACACCTGCTTTGCATGAAAACTTGCATGAGCTTTTCTTTTTAACTTTGCCAGTTGACGCAAACTTGATATTCTGTCAGCAAACTGGTTGTTATGTCCGCAAGGCAGAACCAGAAGATGGGGAGGTGAGTACCATCAAAGTGGAAGACAATCCTTTCTACGGCAACCGCTTGGCAGCAGTCAGAACCAGCAACCAGTCAACGCCTGCCATGCTGCGGTCAGACAGTCAGCTGAGCTACGACCGCCCCGGAATACCAGACTGGGTGAGGTACGCTGCCAGTCAGGCCTCCGCGTCCGAAGGTTCAAGTGTCAGTGACACCGAGTCCGACAGCACGACGGCTGACGGCAGCATCACAGTGTGGAAGAAGAGAGGTCGAAGGAAAACATGCAGCTCGGGCAACTCTGATGATGAGGTAAAGAGACCAGCTGACAAAACATTTGTAAAAGATTGGGTGAAGAAAAGTTCCAGAAGGTGGAGTGACAGCTCCGATCACACCAGTACTGATGATGAACAGGATAGACCAATCAGTGTTAAGGCCTTGGCCAAGTTTTATGATGGACCCAGGGGATATTCGGTGTCACATCGGCCTCGAAGCAAGAAGGTTTCAGCTAAGAGAGAGGTAAAACCTGAGTGTGTTGAAACATCATCTGACGTTCTGGCCAACTTATCCGAGACCCAGATAGGGAATGGGGCAGTTATTCTGGATGACAGTGCATTCAAGACGTTCACTCAAGATGATATGGATCAGTCTAACCCACAGTTTACAATGGACGGCACCATACTGACAGGGGATGATTTGTTTAGGACTCTGACACAAGGAGATGACTTGAAAGTTGGGGCTGATGATGACCCATCGGATCCAGCTCCATTTCCTCTCAAAGAGGCAAAACCTGGTGATATAAGTGTCACAAGGACAGAAGAAGACGTACAGGAAGCTAAGACTGAATCTGCAGTCCAATCACTCGATATTGATCTTCTGAAAGAAGAATGTTCTGGGGATGATAAAGCTCTAAAGAGACAAGTAGATGTTGAAATGCAGGATGCTAAGTTTGATAGTGATCCCTCCAAGCTTACCTCGCCATGGGATGACAGTTCATGCAAGGAGGAATGTTCTGGTGAAACTCTTGCTCTGACAAAAGAAGCAACATCTGATGTTGATATGCGGGAGACGAGGACTGATTGTGATCCTTCCAGTGTTGCTCCACTGCCACGTGTCAACCTTCCCAAGGAGGAAGATGTTGAAGCCAGGACCAAATCTTCAGAGGATGAGAAAATGGCAGCAGTGGACATGAAAGGTGGCATGAGGAGGTTCGCGGGTGATGACAGTGCTCCTCCTGAGGATGAGGAAAATGCGGATGTGGACTCCTCCGACGAGGAGACAGTTGTTCCATTGGACTTTAAGTCCCTTAAAAAGAAGTTTTCTGGTGATGCAAGTAGGACCCCTGAAGAAACACTGCGTGGAAAAAGAAGAGCGAAGAGTGGTTCCCAACAGCCAGATGTCAGGAGACAGGTCAAGAATGTGGTTCCTCGTTACAGGCACTCGTACACAGGAGGGAAGGCACCATTGCCAGAACCTGCTTCCAGCTCTGAGTCATCCACAGATGATGCCATTGACATGGCAAGTGCAAAAGAAGCATTAAAACAAGAAAAATATACTGGTTCTGAATTCAAAGGCCATGGAGCCACTCAAGCTACAGAACAGAGCGTAGAGTCACTCTCATCCACCAGTAACACATCATCAACTGACACTGTTTTAGAAAATACAGATGTGGATATGGAACATAAAAGTGACCATGTAGAATCTGCTTCCATTGACTTCAGAGCTTCTAAAAGAAAGTTCCTGGAAGCAGCTGGGAAAGACAGCAAGAAAGTGGATCGCAGGAGTTCTTTCCGATCTCCCCAGTATCCGCAGGGGAATAGCTACATGGACAGGCTGAAGGAAAGCCATCCACAGGCAGCCGACAAGATGGCTCTGGGGCACGGAGAGAGCCATCCACGGGCTGCCGACAAGATGGCTCTGGGGCATGGAGAGAGCCATCCACAGGCTGCTGACAAGATGGCTCTGGGGCATGGAGAGAGCCATCCACAGGCTGCTGACAAGATGGCTCTGGGGCATGGAGAGAGCCATCCACAGGCTGCTGACAAGATGGCTCTGGGGCATGGAGAGAGCCATCCACAGGCTGCCGACAAGATGGCTCTGGGGCACGGAGAGAGCCATCCACGGGCTGCCGACAAGATGGCTCTGGGGCATGGAGAGAGCCATCCACAGGCTGCTGACAAGATGGCTCTGGGGCATGGAGAGAGCCATCCACAGGCTGCTGACAAGATGGCTCTGGGGCATGGAGAGAGCCATCCACAGGCTGCTGACAAGATGGCTCTGGGGCATGGAGAGAGCCATCCACAGGCTGCTGACAAGATGGCTCTGGGGCATGGAGAGAGCCATCCACAGGCTGCTGACAAGATGGCTCTGGGGCATGGAGAGAGGAAGGAAGTTTGTATTAAGGATGACAGGGAGGAAAGCAAGGGTCACAAAGGAATGGAGGTGCACATGGTAGGAGGTGGATCAGAAACACCGGAGAGACGTGTTGAAGCTGGATCAGACACGCAGCCAGATGATGGTGGAGATGAAAGGAAATTAGAGTTTATTATTCCAGGTGAATATCGTAGTCAAGGTGGTGTTCATTTTGATGGAACGTTCTCACAGCTTGAGACAGAATCATCAACTGATATTGTTGTGCCTGTAACGGAGGATTCAGTGGCGGAAATAGATGCACTTGAAAGCCAAGAACCCTGTGTGAAGCAGAGGAATGATGAAGGTGAAAACACAGGGAGTAAGACGGATGCAAGTGATGATGATACAGAGGACAAGTTTTATGATGCTGTAGAGTTGTCAACACAAGACAAGAACAACACGCTGACAGATGCCACGCTCTGCGAGGCGCTGTACCAGACAGCCTATGAAGCACCTCCAGATGACAGTGGGGTGTCAGACAAGGACAACACACTGACTGATGCCACGCTCTGCGAGGCGCTGTACCAGACAGCCTATGAAGCACCTCCAAATGACAGTGGGGTGTCAGACAAGGACAACACACTGACTGATGCCACGCTCTGCGAGGCGCTGTACCAGACAGCCTATGAAGCACCTCCAGATGACAGTGGGGTGTCAAAGTTCAGTCGTGATGCATTGTGTGATGATGATGATGATGATGATGAAGTATTTGCAACAGCTGTAGGTACCCAGCTTGCTTCACGGCTGAATCACGTGTCTGTGTCTGAGGACATGGACTGTTAGAAGAAACAAAGGATCCACTCGGCCGACAGATGATAGCAGAGGGCATCTTATTCACACTCAAGATCATGTCGTGTTGTACCTGTTGCATCGATGCTGTCTCAGTCATGTTATTTGATATAGTGTTAGATATAATGAGGCTTTAATTCGCATATGCCAAAACACTAGAATGGCTTGTGTTGGGTATTGGTTGAATTGTCCGAACACCCCTCTCTTCACTCAGTACCAGTGTTAGTATAAACGGCTGACTTGCGGCACGGTCACATTTTAGCCATCTGTCTAGTTTTTTCTGATTGTTTTTATATTTACAATCAATATTCAACTGACATAATCAGAGAATACAATAATTATAGTTTAAATGTATTTTTATGTGCAAGACTGCTTTATCTTTGTTAGATTAAAAAATATGAAAGAATGACTGCAAACATAGTAAAATCGTAAAAAAGATTGGTAAATATTAACTTTTCAAAATAATAATTAATCAAGTGCATTTTGTTTAGACTCTGGTCACTGCAGGCCTCTAGTAAAGAGGACGAAGCATTCTATAAATACATACATACCCGTTATTATTAACATACGATCCATCATGCTCTTTTAACAATATTTATTTTTGTCAATAACAATGACTGTATGCCATATAGAAAAATAGACATGTTTGGCCCAGTAGTCTCCAAAGTTAAGGCACAGGCTGCTACATTTGTCTTTAACATGAGGATCGGGGTGTTGTCTGGTGCTTGATCGTGAATGTTAGGTGTACTAATGCCAACAGGAAATAATAGCTACGGAGTATATTGTTTTACTGTGGGCATTAATGGACTCCACCGTCGTGAATCAGAATGAATGTTAGGTGTACTAATGCCAACAGGAAATAATAGCTACGGAGTATATTGTTTTACTGTGGGCATTAATGGACTCCACCGTCGTGAA